TCTCTCTCTCTCTCTCTCTCTATATATATATATATATATAGATAGATAGATAGATAGATAGATAGATAGATAGATAGATAGATAGATAGATAGATAGATAGATATTTATAAACATATATATGCATATGTGTGTATATATATACATTTATATCATGTACATAAGCATGTTTTCTTTTCAATTTCCATTTGTTATGAGGATATGTAATGTGATATAATATAAGATATTGCGTACGTATAATTGAATATATAGGCGTAAACTCATGTATCATTTTGAATGTAATTAATATCAATTAATAAAAAGTGAAGTCGATAGACAAAGGAAAAAGTATGAAGGGAAGCACTTGGGTAGTTATAAATAGTTTTATTTGTAATTGTGTTGATAACAAAGAACTGCTATTTCCTAACGTAATATCAGTAAAAAAAGTGGTTGATAATTTAATATAATTAAAAAATAAAATCAGATGTCGCGACAGTCCCGGGAAAGTGTCGCGAAGGAAATTAGCGACAATTTCTAGAGTCGTAAGATAGCGGAAATAAGGCCTTAGTTCATCAAAAAAAGAGTATGTTCCAAAAAATCACAGTGGCGAAATATATCAGAAAGAATACAATACCAATTATATTTAAAACATACCGCCAAAAATCTAAAACAATGCGATATATATCAAACAATTGAAATACACCTATGAGATATCCTTAAGACACAAAACACAACAAAGTATATCTGATTGCAAAAACATGAACGTCCAACAAATTACGCAAGACTGGACCCACGGCTTTGGACGGCCTTCGCCTGAGACACTTTTGCAATGATATATATATTGCGTACATATATCATTGAAGTGCATTTTTTCGTAAAAGAAGTGCATTTTTCATTTTTCTTTTCTTCACAATCGTTTTGAAAGAATGATAGACTTATATTTCCTTTAATGTAATGATGATTTTAAAAGCATAGGTTCCATATCTAGTTATCTCTCTCTCTCTCTTCTCTCACCTCTCCAACATCATCTCTTCTCTCTCTTCTTCATCTTCCCTCCTCCTCTCCCTCTCTCTCTCCTCTTCTCTAAGTTCTTCTCCTCCCCCCCCTCGCTCTCTCTCTCTTTCCTCTTTTTTCCCTCCTTCTCTCTCTCTCTCTCGCTCTCATTCTCTCCTCTGCTCTTCTCTCTCCCTCTCCTCTCTCTCACATCTCTCACTCTCTCTCTCTCTCCTCTCTCTCCTCTGCTCTCTCCTCTCTCGTCTCTCTCTCTTTTTCTCTTTCTCCTCCCCCCTCTCTCCTCTCTCTCTCTCTCTCTCTCTCCTCACCCTGTCTATTTCCTTCTTCCACTCTCTCCTGCACCGTCTCTCTCCCTCACCATCCCTCCGTCTCCCCATCTCCCTCCCTCTCCCCACCCCCACCTTCTCCCCATCCACCGCCCAAGTTGCCACTTTTGTTTTATTTATTTATTATTTTCCAGGGATGGCAATGATCTTGCTCGCCCTCGTGGGGTCGGCGGCGTCCCCGACTCAAGGATCTCCGCCGTCCGAGTTGCAGCATCCTTCAGCAGGGTCCTTCAGCGCCGCCGCCTCGCCGAACCACCAAGGACGCCAGCGCAGGAAAGCTTTGCATCCACACACGTTCTTAACGACAGTGAGAATCATTGCCGTTGGTTTTCTTGGGCGCTCTTGAGAAAGTGTTTTTTGTTTTCTTTCTTTCTTTCTTTCTTTTATTGTTAGGATGAGTGAGAGAGAGGAATAGAAAGGGAGAGAGGGGTGGGGATAGAGAGGTAGAAGCAGTAGAGGGAGAGGGAGGGGAAGAAGGAGAGAGTAGGGGAGAGGGAGAGGAGAGGAAAGGAGAGAGAGAGAGAGAAAAGTCAGCTGATAACGCGTTTCTCATTTTAATCGGAGATAACGGTACTGCATAATATGTTTCTTCATGGGAGAATGTTGATTTGTCTAATTAATCAGCATGATATTCCTCTATGAGAGGGTATCCAGTATAATGACACTTGAATACCCTGTTCTGATAGCCTAGATATTTGGCGAAGGATATTTCTGGTTACCATGTTTTCTGGATTAAGTACGGAGACCCTATGGACTGCACCCTGGCTATTCACTACCTTGTTTTAATGATATGGCATATATGACTACTGACTCATTTATGCTTGCCTAGTAGGAAGTACACACACTTTCGTCAGGCTCTATATCAGGAATTAGTACACCAGTCCCTGCTGCTCCATGAAGGTCAGTGGAAGCGCCACAGTAGATTGCAAATTGGGGGATCACTGTTGACCTCTGTAGGTATGGGAATTCTCCTCATATCATTAATCCGAGGGGCTAGGATGAGCTGCCTGCTTTTTATAATGTTTCATTTCCTGTCCTTTGGATAGTATGAGCACAATGGAGAATTGGCATTATGCTCTTGTCGGCAGATCACGCATTTCCGAGGGATATTTTTACTTTCGTAAATCTTTTCTGCGAATTTTGAACTTTCATGAGAGCGGTGCGTTTCCGTGTCCCCACTTTGAACAATAAGAGTAAAACGGTGTCAAGACGGCACACCTAAAGGGTGCCATGTCTTAACCCATTTCAATAGTTTTAGCGATTACCTCCCCCTTATACGTTTATGATGCTTCTCTGGGTCATCATTCTATTAACTTTCATGCGTCTTGCATGAATGGCACGTTCATTGCATGTTGTCATTTCTTGTTTCGATTTCCCTTCGGACATCCAAAACATTGACATTAGTGCACTTCCCTTTGCCCAAAACCTATTGATATTGGTTCTCCCAATTTTTAGTTCAATCGATTCGTTTGGCTCACTGTAAGGGTCCATTTTAGGGCCTGAGAGACCTAGCGATATTCGTGCCCATGTGTGCAAAGCTTTGTGTCGTTCTTAAAATGCGCGCACAGGGCTTTCACAGAAGTAGATAGCTGCCTCTTTGTTATCTCTTCAGCCTCTCCTTGGCCCCATCAATGTCCTCCTCACTGAGAAGATCATATCTCCTCTCGCTTCCCATTTGTTTGTTCGTTGCCTTCGTTCCTTCAGTGGGCGCGGTCATTCTCCGACCATGCAGGGACCGACCTGAGTGCCTGCCCTTCGAAAATAAATAGCAACATATGTGGGTTGCCTACGGTGCCTCACAACACTTCTGTGAGTGTGGGTAGGGTCTTTCGCTTTTAGTTTTAATGTTTATTCATTATATCACTTTCGATCTTATGATTGTGTGAACATTATCACATACCACGTCAATATACAACTGACAGGCCTATGAAGACCTGATTGTCAAGGAACACAGACAGTCACAAGATCACGAGAGAACACTATATCCTTCCATACAATGTGGTGTCGTTACGTTAATTAACAGACACAGAGACAGACCGACACACAGAGAGACAGGAACAGAGAATAAAGAAAGAAATGGGTAAATATAATGAAAGTAGAGTAGAACAGCGAGAGAGAAATCCTGCCCTCACCTCTTACGCCGTGTTAATTCAGCCAGAACTGATCCAGGCGCGAGGTTACCCGTCCGAGGTGCATCACGTGATTTCTCCCGACGGCTACGTTCTGCAGATGCACCGGATTCCGTGCGGTCGACGGCACCTCGTCAATGGTAGGTCACAGCTGAGGTCAAGGAACCTCTTATGTATATATATGTGTATATATATATATATATATATATATATATATATATATATATATATATATATATATATATATATATATATATATATATATATGCATTGATATTGATATGTATTTATGTATGCATTAGATGAATTAACAGATAGATAAATAGATAAATAGGTTTACATAGATAGACAAATGATTGAGTATATGAAAATTGTAACCAAGATAAATCCACAATTACCTTCAACAACACTTTTATTCAAATGAATAAAAAGGAAAATAATAACTGTCCCGCATGAACCCTTTCCTCCATTGCTTTATATACAGTTCCCGTTTAGCAAAGAAACATAAGCGTGTTCGGTAATTCACGACCTGTTTCTCCCGTTTCCGCCTTTCCCCCCACCCCCCCACCCCCCAGGAAGGCGTTGCGAGGGCGGACGTCGGCGGGTCGTGTTCATCCAGCACTGCTTGCTTTGTTCCAGCGCCGATTTCGTCATGAACGATCCTGACCAAGCTTTAGGTAAGGGTGGTTGTCTGTACATTGGCGTTGCTAGCTTTGTTGTTTATACTGTATGTGTGTTTCTGATTTAGTTTTGTTCGTGATTTTTGTTTTTATTTGCGTTACGAGCGTTGATTTCATTATACACACGATCATGTCTAACGTTAAGGGGAGGATGGTGATGTATTTTGTGATGTTTCGTTGTTTGTACGCCATCTAGTGGTGATAAAAGTAAGTGTCCCAGGCCAGAAATAAGTCAGAATTTTAGTACACCTCATATTGTAATTTCATATATGTATTTTTATTTACCGGCACCATCTAGTGAGTAAAAATAAATAGCTATTTCAGTTTTACTTGTGGAGAAAAGTAAAAGGAGTGCCTTAGGTGAGAGAAGCGGCGACGAAGACCCAGTTCCTGATTAATATGTGGAGCGCGTTTCAGGTTTCATAATGGCGGACGCTGGATACGACGTCTGGTTGGGAAACACGCGAGGAAACGTCTACAGTCGGCGTCACATTCACCTTTCTCCAAAACAGCCTGAGTTCTGGGATTTCAGGTACTTTCACATTTTCATCCAGGATCTTCAGACGATCTAAACGGTTCGTTTTGTACGCGGAGATAGAGAGATTCTAGCGAACATCAGGAATTATTTTCGGCGCGCTTTTGTTTTCCCCGAATTTCAGCTGAAGCATTTCCGGTCAAGAGTCTCTCCTCGCGCGCTGATTATGGTCTTGTAGCTCCAAGGAATTTCCACTTTCACTTTCTTGATACATACTGTCTTGGATTTTATAACGTGTTGATACGGATTAATAGTTACAATCAAAATGTGTTATTATTTGTTACAGCCTTATTATACCGTTCACTTTGTTCACCTCAAGCTCACCATAACCTAACTACTGTTATCTTATATCCATATATCATCACATTATTTTTTTATTATCCTGTCTTTTACTCGTTACAGCTGGGACGAATTCGCAAAATACGACATGCCTGCAATGTTGCAGTACGTCAGGAAAGTGACAGGAGTGCCTATTCTAGATTACATAGGGCATTCCATGGGCACTACTATCTTCTTCGTTATGATGAACTACCATCCTCATATGAACAACTGGGTTAGTCTTTTTTAACAAACTCCCCTTTTTTAATGAAACAACCAATCAATTCAGTGAAGATGCATTCATATTTTTTAATCTAAATTCTAAGCTAGAACTTAAAACTACACATCATCTTCCTGAAAACTCAAGCATCCTTTCGAAAGGACCTTCACACTGAAGAACATAATATCTAAGTCCTTTTTCTCCTAGATTCGCGCGATGGTCGGGATGGCGCCCGTCGCTTACATGCACAATAAGCGCGCGCCCATTTCAGCTTTTGCGCCCTTTGTGGATATTATAGATGTGAGTATTTTGGAGATTGGTTATGCAAAACTGTTATACAACAATTTGTAAACAGTATATCTATAAGTAGGTAGAGTAGGTAGGTAGGTAGGTTGTAGATAGATAAATAGATATAAATAGATAGATAAGTAGATATAAATAGATAGATAAGTAGATATAAATAGATAGATAGATAGATAGATAGATATAAATCGATATATAAATCGATATAAATAGATAAATAGATGTAAATAGATATCTAAATAGATATAAATAGATAGATAAATGGATGGATAGATAGATAAATAGATAGATATCCAGACATATCAATAGCCAGATCGTTACCCATCATGCAAGAAAACATGACTAGAAAACAGAATCCGAAATAACAAATAAAAAGCAAAACAAGAAAGAAAGAAAAAAAAAAAAAAAAACGCCTTGCCCTTAGTGACGTCACCTCCCCAACAGCAATTCCTCGAGGACAAGGGCTTCAACGAAGTCGCCAACTCGAACACCGCGTTCTCCACCTTGGCGTCTGCTGCATGCGCTCCGACGTCGATCCTCAGATTCATTTGCAGTTTTGTTCACTTCCTTCTCGACGGTCCGGCCTCCGATTATGTAGATAAGGTGAGGCATAAATCTTGTATGTGTGTGATTTTCCTTTTCTTTTTTTTTTTTTCTTTTTTTTTTGCTGGCGTTTATTTTCGTGGGTATGATGTTGTCTTTTGTTTGTTTTTGTTTGTTTTTAGATTTGTTTTGTTGTTGTTTGCTTGTAGAGGTTTGTTGCTTATTTTGGGCTGATAATGAGTTTGCATGATATTTTGTATTTAATGGATTCCGAGGACGTGTGTCTTTTGTTAAAGATTTTTTTTTTCTCTCTCTCTATCTCTCTTTTCTTATATATGTGGAATTTTGTTTTTCTTTATTTGTATGATAATAAAGTTATTTTGCTTGGTTACAAAGGCATTTTTCTCTACTTGCAAAGTTCAGTTTAGATTCTACATCTCTAATTGTTTTATATTTATTCAATTATGTCGTTCACATATTTTATCTTAATAAAACTATAGCATTTCACGCAAAGGTTTGTTTCTGTCCTGTATTTCCACTTAATGATAACTAACAACCTCGCATTCTCAGTGGATACAACGAGTGTTCATATTAGCCAAAGAACAACTATATCATTATCCCCATTTCACCTTCGCCTTCACTTTCACCTTTCGCAGGACTACATCCCGGTCATCTTCGCCCATACTCCTGCCGGAACCTCCCGCCGAGTCGTGACTCATTTCCTCCAGGTCATTGCCTCAGGTGAGTCGACTTTTGGAGGACTTTCTGATCACGATTTGCCCCGAGATTGTAAGGGCGTGTTGGAGTGCGATGGTTCTGTTGTTAAACGATATTTCCGGAAATATTGTTAAACGATATTCCTGAAAATTTTGTTAAACGATATTTCCGAAAATATTGTTAAACGCTATTTCCGAAAATATTGTTATACGATATGTCCAAAGATGTTGTTAAACTATATTTCCGAAAATATTGTTATACGATATGTCCAAAGATGTTGTTAAACTATATTTCCGAAAATATTGTTAAATGATATTTCCGAAAATATTGTTAAACGATATTCCTGAAAATATTGTTAAACGATATTTCCGAAAATTTTGTTAAACGATATTTCCGAAAATATTGTTATACGATATGTCCAAAGATGTTGTTAAACTATATTTCCGAAAATATTGTTAAATGATATTTCCGAAAATATTGTTAAATGATATTTCCGAAAATATTGTTAAACGATATTCCTGAAAATTTTGTTAAACGATATTCCTGAAAATTTTGTTAAACGATATTTCCGAAAATTTTGTTAAACGATATTCCTGAAAATTTTGTTAAACGATATTTCCGAAAATTTTGTTAAACGATATTTCCGAAAATATTGTTATACGATATGTCCAAAGATGTTAAACTATATTTCCGAAAATATTGTTATACGATATCTCCAATGATTTTGTTAAACGATAT